TAAAGTGAGAATAGCAGCACAACTGGAAGAACGTAACCGAAGTCACTGAATTGTGCGTGTAGAAATTTTTGAAATGGTGTATCTTTGGCTAGGTATATTTTCACCAAAAAAAAAAAAAAGATCAAGAAGGGAGAGGGTTGACATGTCATGGGGTTGTTAACCAATGTCATAAAACAGTGTGTGTACTGACTGTTTAATGAAAAACTATTTGTTCTGTAAATGTTCACCTAAAGTACAATTAAAAAAAAAGAAGATGGAAGGAATACACAGAATCACAGTACCAAAAATTATAAGAGACCTAAAGGACAGCATTTACCCAAAGGCAAAGTTCAGAAGGACAGTAGGGACAGGAAAGCTGGGCAAATGGACACAGGAACTCAGGGAGGATGTGGGGAGAGTGCTGAAACATTCAGGGGTTTGCAACCAATATCATGAAACAAGCTGTGTCTAAATTGTTGAATGGGAAACTAATTTGCTCTGTAAACTTTCACCTAAACAAAACAAAATGTTAAAAAAAAAAACTATTTCCAAACAAGGTCACATTCACAGGTACCAGGGGTTAAGACTTCATCGTATCTATGGGGTACACAATTCAATCCATATCAGCACTTGAAATTATAGATTGGCATGGTTCCCTTCTCTTTACCTAAATCTGCCTTGGCATCGTAATTAGATCCTAGACCACCACACCAGAGGACTGCCTGGAGCAGCTCACTTGGAACTTGCACTAGAGTCACATGTACGATCTGAAACCTGGGCAGAGTTAGTCTAAGGAACTATGAGGCAGCCAGCCCACAATGAGATCTTAGGTGGATATTTTTTGTTTCTTTAAGTGTAAATGGGGCATGAAGTTCATTCTGTGGTATTGAACAAGAAAACTAGTGTGTCACAGCCAAGGTGCTCAACCACATTAGTAGACTGTGCCTGCGTTGGCACTTCTGTTCTCAGCTGGAGTTTATTTGATTAATGAGTGCTGTCTCCAGTAAGTCTCAAACTGGTGCCAGCCAAACCTACCAAGAGGGAGAAATTGGGCTTTGATCTGCTTTTGGTGACCAATCATGACAGTATTAGCAGTGTTGGCAGGACATAGACTGGAGTTTTAACAATCCAGTGGTCCCTCAAGAGTGGTCCTACAATCTTAGCAGCACCCTCCAAGTGCATCCATTTCATTTTCCAAGATGACAAGATTTTCCATATCTTGTCATCACTGTGTGCAGTGATTATGGCAGGGGTAGGGGGATAATCTTAATTACAGGAGATCATTTCAAGACCCAAAATGTCAGTGTCAGTGAAAAATTTGGCAACACTTTAGTAATTGTCCTTTGCCTCATCCCTAGTCAACTGCTTGGAAAAGTGTGATGAACCCAACTTGGCATAAGGGAAATTACACATAATTACCCCACTGAACAATCCAGTGAGCAGAAGTAGGCTCCAGCACTCCAGAATGGAAAGCAGCTATTTGGCTTCCTAGATTTTTTTCCTTCTTTCTCTAAAGGGCATGTTTTTTTTTAAGATTTGAAGCTTTCTGAATCGGTTGAGCCATGGCCACAAGTCTTGTTTGTCCCTTTGACAACATGGGTAACCAAAGAAAAAACTTGGAAGAAATACCTTTGACCCTTACCACCTTTTTGGGAAAAAAGAAAAAATTGTTTTTTGTCAGTCATCCCTACCCTCCTCTTTTTTTTTTTTTTTTAAATATGTTCATTCATTCAATCAATTTTCATTGAACACCATCTATACACAAAGCATTGTGCCAAGTATTAGGGAGTAAATGTAAAACCTAACAGATACTGCCCCAACCTTGTGGGAGGTGAAGCAAAACAAGAAACTGAACAGAAGAGTAAACTAATCAATGTTTGTGGTACATGCTTTGAAGGAACTGAACAATAGACTGAGAGAGTAAATAGCAACAACAACAACAAAATAATGCTGAGGGCCTCTCTGAGGAGATACCATTGGCACTGAGGCGGAAAGAATGAGAGGGAGCCCGTCATGTGAAGGGTAGGTATAGGGGCATGGGAAAGACACCATTCCAGGAAGCAGGAGTGTGATCGTTAAGGTTGTGTGTCAACTTGGCTGGGCCATGATTCTCAGTGGTTTGGCAGTTATGGTGTAATTTGGCAGTCATATGATGATGTGATCACTTCTATGATGAGATTTGATATAATGTGATCACCTCCATGATGGGATCTGCTGTGAGTAGCCAGTCAGTTGAAAGGGAGTTCCCCTGGGTATGTGGCCTGCATCCAATATAGATGGACTCTCTGGCAAGGCGTGGGGGCTTTTGCTCGCCCTGGATCCTGCAGCTGCATCCTGTTCATCTGACTTCTGGTTCTTGGGACTTACCTGCCATCTTGCCTGCTGATCTTGGGATTCATTGGTCTTTGCAGTCTGTGAGCAAGAACCCTACTGTCTGACCTGCTGATCTTGGGTTCACCAGTCCCTGTGGCTACATGAATCAGGAGAAGCCTCCAGCCTGACCCACAGACATGGCGCTTCCAGCCTCTACAACTGTGTGAGCCATTTCCTTGATATAAATCTCCATATATAGATATTTATACACTTTATTGGTTTTGCTTCTCTAGAGAACCCAGCCTAAGACAAGTAGTAACATGTGCAGAGATCTCAAGGAAAAGGAGAATTTGGCATGTTTGAGGAAATGAAAAAATTAAATATAGAACCTTGTATCTGAAGCAACGTGTGAGCTGAGAATGAACGAGGCAAGGCAGAGAGAGACACACAGGCCAGCTATGTAGCTGTGGAGGCTGTGCAAGCATGAGGTTTTGATTCTGAGTACAATAAACTGGGTTAAGAAGAGGAGAGCTGTGATTGGTTTTGTGTTTTGCTAATTTGTAGAGAATGCTTTGGAGGTGACAAGAATGGAAGTTCGGAAACCAGTTAGGTGGCTCTTGGAGAAGTCCAGGGGAGAGATGATGGCAGACTTCTCTGATATATTTAAATTCGAGGTATATTTAGAGACAGAACTTTTGGCTGTCACTGCCATATCCCGTGTGGGCTATGAGCAAGTAGAAAAAGGCAGACTCTCAGACTCAGGTTTGCATGAGGGAATGGATGGTGTCATGTGCAGAGATGATAAAAATTGAGCAACAGGTTTGTAGGTTTGTTTTTGCTTTTTTCCCAAATTTTATTTATTTTGTTGTTGTTGAGAATATGCACAACAAAACATATACCACCAATTAAACAGTTTCTGCAAGCACAATTTAGTGATATTGATTACATTGTTGTGTAACCATTCTTACCCTCCTTTTCTGAGTTGTTCCTCCCTCATTAACATGAACTCACTGCTCCTTAAGGTATCTATTTATCTAATCTTTGAGTTGCTGCTGTCAGTTTGATTCCATATAGATAGTTCTTAAAAGAGCATAATGCTGAAGGCAGATCTTTTTTACTAGTTGAGCTAAACTATTGTTAGTTTTAAGATGACTTCAGGGGTTATTTTTGCTTTAAGGTTTAAAGATTATCTCAGGGCAGTAGTTTCATCCACCATCCATGCCTCCATGAGAACTGGAAATTCTGTCCTGAATTTTTCCCCTTTTGGTCAGGATTCTTCTATAGAATCTTTGATCAAAATGTTCAGTAATGGTAGCCTGGCACCATCCAGTTTTTCTGGCCTCATGGCAAAAGAGGCAGTTGTTCATGAAGGCAATTAGCTACACATTCCATTTCCTCCTCTTAGTCCTGACACTCCTTCTTCCTCTGTTGCTCCAGGCAAATACAAACCAGTTGTTGTACTTTGATTGGCCGTTGGCAAGCTTTTAAGACTCCAG